TCCCTGGTTAATAGGAAATGTGCTAAAGCACTTGGGTTCGTGCCAGAGAAAGATGGGGTGGTTTTTCAGAGTTTAAGTTCTAGAAATATCTTAGTCTTTAGCACCGCTGATAATTTCAAAGCTGGCCTGGAGGTGATATGACTGACACTGTCCTTTCACTCAGGATTCTTGAAAGAAAAAATAAGTTCCAAGTATTAGTATTCTTAAAAAAGAGATTTTACTAACTTATTGGGACCAAAGTTGAGTTATGTTAAAGAAAAGTGTTGTGTTCATTTTTAAAAGATGTAGAAGGAAGAACCAAGCAGCAATTATTTATAAAACACAACGTAAAGTTAGATTTGGGAATAATTCGGTTCATGTCATCATTGCAGACCAGAGTAACTAGACTATCCTGATCAAATTTACTGAGCAGTGCAGCATCCCATGTGGTGTTAGATTAATAGTACAGTAAAGGTAAATTTGTTTGACTGTCTTCTTCCCATTCTGTACATTTCCTATCTTTGTGCAAAAGATCTTACTGAAAGTTTAAAGCCGTCATTATTTGTTGCCATAAATATGTAGGTGTCAGTGCCAAAACGTCTGAGTAACTTCTTAAGCCTTTGGTCTAGGAGACTAGTATTTGTTCATATGCTTGTGTGAATGTATGTCTTAAATTATATGAACTGTTAAAGAGATACCACTGTATTGTGCTTTGGACATTTGAATTATTGTAAATACATGTGTTCTGCGACTTGATGTTCTCTTGTATTTGCCTATTTAAAAATATACATCTAAGATGTTTTATGTGATCTGATTTTGCTACTTTTGTGTTAAGAACCCTCTATAGCAAATACCTCTCCAAATTTCTTGTTACAGTACAGAGTTTATTTTTTTTTAAAGAGGGAAAAAGGCTCTAAAGTGTCCTACCCAGTTTATACCTTCTATATCACATTTTACTCTGATACCATTGTACATTTCAACCAGGTTTGGAAGATATTTAAGCTCTGATTTTGGAACATGTGAGAGCCCCGGAGACCTCCTCATTCCCATCCCTGCTGTGAGGTAATCGAGTACCCACTCTTTTTTTTTTTTTTTTTT